GAATATTTAGCATCTTGAAGGAATTCTGCAACTTGTTATAGTCATGGAATGCAATTTTATATGAAGGATTTTGCTTTATTTGAGGAATTACAAATCGTATCTGGAACAGGCTGAGGAGAAAAAGTAAGCTGAGTATTAGCTTCCTGCGGAACAAGCTGTGCCCCAGGATGATACTCTGCACAAACTTTGATTCTCACTTTCCACTGGTAAACTGGGAGGCCACATTTCAGCCAGTTAGGACTTTTTGCTTCTTTGTTTTTTTTTCTTTCCTGAAATCGGAAGTATACTTAAAACAAACAAAACAAAAAAGTAGTGATTAATAAGATTCTTAAACCCTACTGCAATAACATAACTTTACCTGTAATTGTACCAATATTGTTCCTTCAATGTCTTTCAGATTTCCATGCCCACTTTTTTGTTTCTTGATTGTCTTTAACTTAATCATATAATAAAATCTGACTTTCTGACACTGTACAACATTGATCTCTTACTTACAAACTGTAGTATACATTAAGCCTAATGGTATCACTACACCCGCAATATTCATTCACCATGGATTCCATTTTAACATCTGTTAGTCAATTTTGAAGTAATTAAGAATAGCGTAAGATTTACCGGCTTATTCTCAAGAGATGCAGTCCAACACAAGAGATGAGGACAGGAAGATTTAATTTTAATGTCTACTCTTTATTGCACTTACTATGACATTAATGAGAATTCATTATGATTAATGGCCTAGACTTTTTATATAGGCTTTATACAGACTATATAAAAAGACTTCTATAGACTTTTATAGTTTATATAGACTATCTTTTTTCTTATCTTCATAAACATCTTTTTGCACAGTCTTCAGGTTCATAACAGCCTCCTCTGAACTTTGTAAACTTTTTATTCTAAGATTTTTAGGGTTGCAACCTTTTACTCTTTGACTAAGGGTAGAAATGTTCAACCTGTAGAATGTGCTAAGGCCATGCACTTTTGTCTAAGACAGTCTCAGTGTGCCTTTTATACTTTTCCGTTATATAACTGAACTTTACTGATATCCAGTAATACCAATAAACACATAACTATGCATTAAGCACTTTGTTCCAGTATCTAGCAGTCAGTAGAAGGTATGCAGGCAGCACAAGTCATTTCAAAGTTGGCAAAACACTACAACAAAAGGCAATGCAGAAATTCATTAAGTCTGTGCACAGCAATTGCAACCTACCACTGCCATCTCTGTGAAGTTCTCCTTGTTTAAAAAAATAATAAAAAATAAATAAACACACCAAAAACTATAACAACAACCAGGGCTTTGAGGTTGATTTCTAAATCAATTTCAATTCCGATACAGTCAAGTTAACCAGAACAGAAAGGTAACTCATACTCATGTACCAGCTGTTAGACTTAGAGTGGGACGCTAGATCCAACCACCAAAAAAGGCTTACTTCTTCTCTTCTGTGCCAAAATCTAAACTATCCTAACTTGAAGACATGCAACTTTTTCTCTTGATTTTTTCTCAAAACATTCATCTTTTAAAAAGTTCACTCATACAACATGTGTCCTTTCTAGCAGTTTTGATTCACGCCATGCCAACTTTTTTAGTTGCAAAATCTATTAGAGGAATAGTCCACAAGGAGATGCAACTTTTTTGGTCTTAACTCCTGTTTTATTAATTGCCAGTGTCTCCACTCAGCTTTTCTGCCTTTGTGTTTTTCTTATACATTGGTATAACCCCTCCACTCAAGCAACTTCCATTCCTCATCTGCAACAATTGCTGCTGGCTTTAGTTGTCACGGGGGTGATACTGTGTGATCTTGAGTGATTGTTTTCAAACTCCCATATGACTAACATGGTTTTCTTTTGAATATCTATGAGGTACATATGTAGTGTATTCATAAGGGAAAATTTATATTTGGTGTACTCAAACTTTTTACAGCACTTTATCCTTATAAAACCCTTCTATGCTATAGAGATATTAACATTTTACAAATAGAGAAGGGAGGAATGGAACAGACAAAGATGCATCTTGTTAAGGTATCCAAATGCTTAAGGATGCCTACTGGGATTTTCAAGAGAGGTCTGACATATAACTGCTATTGAACTAATTGAAAAAAATTTCACTAAATGCCTAATTTGCATTTTTAGTTTTCTGAAAACCTTTAAAATCTGACTCACCCATGTCACCCTTTTAATCCAGCAGACCAGTGCATTCAGTCTGGAACTCATTAGCCCTTAAACTTATGCTCTAAGCAGTTCACAGTGCTTCCCATAGGACAAGTTGGATGAAAAATAAGCTGTGCATGTTCCAAACACCCAGCCCGGTGCCCTCCCTCCTTCTCTGAGTCCCACACCATGTTCTCAGATGGTGGGGAGCCAGTATCTACTGTGCCTGTCCAGTCCCCCTACCATTCCCACAATACAGCCAACATACATGAATAGCTCAAACCAAGTGGGCTGCTGTAAAGCATCCGTGTCTATCACGTAGTTGGGGTAGGCAAGCAGCTACTTTATTGGAGAAAAAACACATACAAGCATGCATAAACACCTTAATTGTTGTACAAAAACTCATTATGAATGTTTTCTAGCTGCACTTTTCTCAACTCGAGCAATGTTGTACACATTTTTAGATAGGTCTGTTGTCTGGCCCTAGAGGAGGTTGCTCAGTTTGGCTAATGCATTCACACAGCAAAGAAACATGCGTTATAGCAATTACAGCTTCTTCTTTTGCCTGTTTGTGCTAGGAGGATGCTGTCTTTCAGCACAGGTTTTCTTCACCTCCCTAAATTTAGGCCACCAGTTGCTGGAGAGTGGCTGGACCTGCTGTCAGGTCCTTTTTCAGTGACATTTCACCATTGTTAAGTCAATGAAATTCACAATGTAAATCAAGCCAGTGTGATTGCAAATCTTATTCCTTCTTTTTGGAAGTCAGGGACACTGTCTTCTTCCAGCCCATACCATCACATCACTGGTTAAACAAACCTCATGGGCAGACAGTTTACTGGGACAATATATGTATTTTAATCAAAGAAATACAAGGCAGGGTAAATTAGTAAATTCCTGCCATAACATTGCTACTCTACAGACGTGGTTTCTGAGTCAGGGCTCATGGGTAATGTGTTGCCTGCTAGACCCTCTGAGACTGCCTGCAGCTGCAGAAAATAAAAATGTTAAAATTGAGGCCAATAGGAAGATGCTGCCTGCAGCATAATTGCTCGCTGTTGTTGCACATCGGCTGGCGAAGGTTAGAGAGCGCTGCTCTGTGTAATTGAGCGGGTTTGCAACAGTACCAGAGTCTGTTTACATAATAATGTATAATAATGGTTTAAGCAGAACAGGTAGAAATAAATACAATTCAATGTTTTGTCTTTAGGTAGCAGGTGATGAATTTTTACTGAGCACAGCATGTCTGAAAAATGCTCCCAAACCAATGCCAGGTATTCTTTGCCTGAGGCTGATGGAAAAAACAGGCACCTTCTTCAAGGAATCCGAAAAGCTGTTATCCAAGTTAGCTGAGGCTGAAGTCTTCACATGCATTTCTAGTAATTTAGCATTCAAAGAGAGCACTGATTTAAGTAGACATTTTGGGAATCATCACCTGATATACAAATATGTGATTAATCCCTTGGTAAATGAAAATTACAGAAAATCACAGGTGTCTGTTACAAAAATTACTGCTTATGTGAACAAAGCAATTAAATCTGTCTATATGAACAAAACAATTAAATCTGTCTAATTTTAAAAAATCCTTATCAAACAGTGCATGAATTACTTTAATTTGAACATTTCAAGTGAGAGATAAGCCAGAATGGCTGCAAATAAATTTGGATATGAGCAGACTGAGTATAGGAAAACTCCTTATTCATTTATTGTGATAGAAAAGCTCCCCCCCCTCCCCATTTTCTTCTTGATACTGGTTTCCTCTGGGCCTGTTAGCATATCCAAGCATTTGTCAGGAAAGTTGCACTTTGAGTCCTACTTCAGGTTTCCCAGATCACATAAAAGCGTTTAAGATTACAGTGTAATTTGACTGCTCTGTGCTAAGTGAGCTAACTTGTCCCAGGGAATATTACAGAAAATCATACTGTACTGTGCTGATCAGCTGATCTAGCACCGAGGCTTTTCAGTACTACAAATGTTTATCAACTTCTCTTTTAACTCTTTAAATTTCTGCTCACAGTGAGCAAACTCCACTTGAGGGTGTTAACATAAATACATTAAGCTCCTAAGTGAAACTGTACTTTGCCTTTCCCTTATGGCCAGAGATGTCCAGAACATCGTCAGCCTTTCAGCATTTTTGACTAGCTGAAAGCTTAAGAAGCTTCCTTAAGCGAAAGTTTTTAAATCAGTGCTGTGCCAAGACACAAGAGGCAACCATAATCCAGCCGCACGCTGTCACCGTACATCTCGCCAGACCTCCGGCCCGCACACCTGCTACGGAACTGCAAGGAGCAGCCTTTGCAGCCTGCCAGGAGGCAGAACTGGGAAGTTAGGTTGGATGGAGCCGTGTGTGAAGTGCCCCGAAAAACCCTTAGGAGCCAGCGCTGCGGGGAGGGCCCGGGGAGCACGGAGAGAGCCCCGAGCCCGGCGACGCTGCGGGAAGCTCCGGAGGCGGCTGCACCGGCCGAGGATGCCGTGCCCCGAGGCGCCGCACCGGGCAAGGATGCTGTGGCCCGAGGCGGCCGCCGAGGCCGCCCCCTGGGGCCGCGGGTCGCCCAGCCGGGCGAGAAAGTTGCCCGGAGCCCTTCCCTCGGCCGGCAGCAGCCGTGCCCGGGAGTCCCGGGGGGGCCGCGTCTCCCCGGAGCGCCGGGCTCCGCCCGCCTGCGATGCGAGCGAGCGCCGGGCGCCGCGGCGGCCGCCGGCGGAGCGGGGGAAGGTGCCCCGGGCCCGGGCTGCGGGGGTGCCCCCGTCCCTACCAGCGGCCCCGCGGGGCCGGGAGGCCTCGGTCCGCAGCCCCGGCCCCCCTCCCGACCCCTGCGGGGGGTCCTCCCTCCTCCCGCCCCGGGGAGCCGCGGTACCTGAGTCGGTGAGGCGGGGCCGGGCTCTGTCCCGCAGGTAGTAGATGAAATCCCGGCAGTTGTCGTTCTCCACCGCCCCGACGGAGCAGAGCTCGGCCAGCAGCTGCAGCGCTTTCTGGCAGATCTCGTCCTCCCTGTCGCCGGGCATCGCCCCCCAGCATCCTCGGGCGCGGAGCGGAGCTCTGCGGTCAGGCGCCGCGCCGCTGCCCGCCGCCGGCCCCGCCGCCGCCGCCGCCCTCCTGCAGCCGCCCGCGCCGCGGGGCCGCCGCCCGCATCCTCCGCCAGCGCCGCCGGCCGCGCACCCGCCCCGCCGGGCCGCCCGCCGCGCCCCCCGCTGCCAGCTTCGCCCCGCCGGGGGCCGTCCCGCAGCCTCTGCCCGCCGGCCGCGCTCCTCTGGGGCGGCCGAGGAGGAGGAGGAGGAGGAGAGGGGGAGGAGGAGGAGGAGGAGGAACCCACCAGTTGAATGCGGGAGCGGGGAGGGCGGCGCCCGCCCAGCCGCGCCGCCTCAGCTCTTCCCGGCGCGGGGGGCACCCAGCCGGGGGTCCCCGCACACCCCCCGACAGAGCCGGGCCGGGGGAGAATTTGCAGGGTGTAGGAAAAGGAGGCCTCGGGTGCGGGTCTCTGCAGGCAGCAAGCCTCGGGAAACTCTTCTTCCTCCTCCTCCTCCTCCTCTTCATCACGAGCCAGGCCCTAGCCCCCTCTTTGCTGGTCTGCGTTTAGTGTCTATAAACAGTTAAACACCGTGAGCTCTTTGCGCCTCGCTGCCTGCTCCTACTCAGAAAGGATTACATTCACTCAACTAATTGTCTTGAAATTATTTCGCAATAAATAATGCGTGCCCCTGCAGTCGGGAGCCTAGTGGAGGGGAAAACGTTTATAGTCTGAGTCCCGTGGAGCTAACGGTGTGCTTCAGCTGGTTTGTGGGGCGGGTTAGGAGGAATTAAAGCATCACTGACAAATCCCAGGCACCCGACAACCGGGCCCAGCTTGAGGAGCAGGCAGGAGAGCCTCCTGCGCTCCCGGAGGATGCAGCAGGCTGGGAAGCCACCATCCAATGCGTGTGGTTATCCAGAGAAGCAGGAAAGGTGTGAGGTGCTGCTTGGCCCCCTGGACTGGTCGGCAGGGAGGCTGTTGGTTTTGTGAGGAGAGAAGCTACTACATTTAACTTGGTGTTTTATGGCTCTGTTTTAGAGTGGTTTAAGCAAACATCAGAGGCCATGATGAGCTTGGAAAGTTCGGGCTGGTAGTTTAGCCTACTGCTCAAAAACTGGTGATAATTGTTCTAGAATAGTGCGTACAGCAACATCTTCTGGTGGAAGCTGTTTTTGTATTCTTTCTTTTTTTTTTTTTCTTCCCTCCCTCCCTCCCTCCTCCCTTCCTTCCTTCCTTCCTTCCTTCCTTCCTTCCTTCCTTCCTTCCTTCCTTCCTTCCTTCCTTCCTTCAGAAAAAACTATAGCAGTGAAATAAGTTATAACATACTCTGTGACTAGGGAGGACATTAACAACAGAAGTTGTTTACTAGTGTAAGGATTGCTAGTGCTTTGGCACCACTGCTTATGTCTCAAAGGCATGAGCTTTTTCCTTTCTAATAGAAAAATGATGTCTGTAAAACATGGTTGTATAAACCAGGTATAATTCCATCAGCAAACAGGTAACTGTCATGCTGGCTTCTTCTTAGAAATTAATCATAGATAAAGAAATGGCCTGTAGCTGTTATACTTACTAAAATCATACTTCTGAAGCCCAGAGATATTCATAAGTATATGTTTTCACATCCAAGCAAGAGGAAACTTCCTACTAGCCCCAGTAAATGCTGCGCAAATACTTGACTTAGTGTTGGGAATACCAGTGGGATTGACTTGCTTCTCCAAGCGTGCAGGAAGAGAGGGGAAAGAGAGGATTCTGAAGAGGAGCTGTGAATCACAGCTTTCTCTGAAACCAAGGACCTGGCAGTCGGAGTACTGCTGCTCTTGCTGCTTCAGCAAAGAAGGGCTGTAGTTTACAGAACTTGGTAGAACCTTGAGCTACCAGAGATTTCCTTTGGGGGAAAACCACTCTCAAAAGGCTTAGTGAATTATTCACACTCATAAGCTCTATGGGGATAGCAACTCTTTCATCTGTAACACCGGATCGAGTACTGGTCAACGTTGGTGGAAGGTAATAAAGAGGAGGAAAGACAGAGGGGCTGTTAAAGACCACTGATGGAGACATCTGCCAAGTGCAGTCCAAGTAGTCAGCGATCATGTCATACCTAGAGAGCAGTGCTGCTCTATAGCTTGTACTGCATCCAGGACAGTCGAACCTATCGACTGAGAGTGATATTAATGCATTTACTGAAGTGTGGTTCTTTTCCTGTGGGACCATAAGCCCAGCACTAGCCCGGAATTCTAGCTTGCCGCAGAGTGAACTCTGGACGGCCAGCTGATGAAGTGGTAACTTCTTTATCTTTCTCCTCTAATTAAAATATATTGCTTCATTTTTGAAATGGCAGCAATTTGAAGGTGCTGATACATTTGTAATGCAGGTGGTGGTGGTAGGAAATTTTTCAGAATCTAATGGAGGAAAGACCATGAAATTGCTTGGATGTCACTGCTAGTAAACAAAGACATCTATTCTCAAAAGCTCTGAACAGGTACCTAGTGCACTGTCCAAGAAAACTCCGAGTCTTTTTCTAGAGATAATTATAGCAAATGGAATCTGCTGTGTTTAAAAGCAAATGCAATTCTCATTCCAATGAATAATTGTGAAAACTAGATTAGATCTGCCATTTTGTTGCCATTGAATGCATTTTGCTATTCTTGCTGTCATCCCTACTTGTGATGAGCTTATTCTTATCTCAGCTGCAAATTTTGCCCATTCAGGGCAGGCGGTACACTTGAGAACACCAGTGTGTGCTGTCCTAATGAACTGTGGTCCTAGAAGGGCATTGCGTGATGCAGTGGGACACTCCTGTTAACCTGAGGTTGAAAGTTACAGCTTGTACTGACCATAGGTGTATATATTTGTTCTGTTTAGTGCAGAGCTGCCCTCACACAGCGTAGTGTACTCAGAAGTTAGAAAAAAATCCCCAAGCCCACTAGACATGGAATCAAAGTAAGTTTAACACTTTGACCTACAACAATTCTGTCACCCTCAGTTGACACATTCTTCTTTCTTACCTTGGAGTAAAGCTTTTCCCCAGTGCTCTAGCATAAACACAAGGGTTGCCTGGCAATGAAATCATCTTTGAAGCACAGGTGTTCATGAAACAAATGCCTTTCTGGAAGAAAGTAGGCAACTTGCATCAGGATTTTTATTATGCCTACGCTGTAAGCAGAACTCATCAAGTGTTTGGCCAAGTTTTATACCTTTCTGGTCTGGTAGCATGCCGAATTACAGACCAAATGGATTCAATCTGGCTTTTGTTGTTGTTTAGAATTCCTTTTCTGCAATTTGATACTGTCCTTGTTTTAAGGGGATTTATAGACTTCTTCCTCAGCATCACACATCTTTGGGTGGAATGTGCTGTGCACCCACCACACAAACCCTTTTTTACTTTAGGAGGGAACTTCAGCAGCAGCTTTAGCAGCTCCCTTGCTTGAGGGTAACAGGTGGGGGCATGGGCAGTGTCAGGGAAGGAGGAGTCTGACTCTTCTATGAAGAGTTACCTCTCTTTAATCACAAGTGGAAAGAACGAATCTGTTAGAGCAAAAGCACAGTCATTCCAAGCGAAGCCTGGCTTTGTTCAGCGTTAAGTGTGCCAAGCTCAACATTTCCATTTTACAGTCACCTGGAAAGTGAAGGCACCAGTGGAGTGACTTTGTTTCGTACTGTTCCTTTTTCTGTGCTTTAAATCTCTGCAAAAGATTGTCTTTGGAATTTTTTAACCACTTCTCCCTCCAAATTTCCAAAGAAACATGACCTGTAGTTTGTGTTCAGATTTTCTATAATTTCTGAAATTAAAGACTTCAGAACTGACATGTGAGACATTTATTAATTCCTACTACTACTGATTCCTGTGGGAAGCAGAAGCCCATTTATCCAAAAGGAACACATGACCCAAAATCTAGACTTGTCACTGGGTTTTCAGCTCAGAGAGACCTTTTCAAAGCAAATGACTCACAGTAGGAGACATGATCCAGTTTGGGCTAATCTGAATTCTGAGATAGCAGCATCAGATAAATGAAAGGATAGAGTACTCAGCTTACTCCTTAACATTTCCCGCATGTCAAAGTGTTGAACCAAGTCAAAACTCTCTAAGAGTCACATAATAAACCAGGTTTCAGCACGTTTTCTTGTCTGTGTAGCTCAGATAACTTCAGAATGACAGCAGAAGCTGAATCCCACTGGCTACTCAATGAAGCCATTCAAAGAAATAGAGCTGTGGCTGTGATCCAAAGCCAGCCATGAGGCAGTGCTAAGGAATCTTTGAAAAAACATCTAGCAAAGCTTTGAGAAAAGTTGGGCAGGTGATGGCCGCAAACAGAAACTGCATTGGCTGTAGCAAGTTTTCAAGCATTTTAACTTTGAAAATAGTTCAAATAGTTGTAATTGCAAAACAGAGAAATGTTAGATAAACTAACTGAAGTTAGGAAATATCACTACATGTAGATCAACAGAGAGTATAGCATCAGAGGGAGAAACCAAGGTGACATACTAGGAGAAGAGAAGGTCTGCGCAACTACATACAACAAGTTTGTCATACTTCTGAAGAGTTCATTAATTTTGATTCCTTGTGCTTCTTGGTACACCAAAGAACCAGAGATCCCAAAGACCTTCTTTGCCATTGTTCTCCATTTTATTATGCTCTCATCCAAGTTGACACAGTGACTTGAAAAAAGAAGGCATCAAATTATTTTCTTGCCCACCCAAACAGTCTATTTCCAGGGACTACTGCAAAGCATACCTCCAAGAGGTCAGCTTTACTACAAATGATGTCATTAAATTGACATGTCTTGCCACATGCTGCCTTCTGTTTTCTAATAATGCTAGATGTCTTATTTATCCAAAACCAACAGTTTTGATCCATTGGAATACCTGTTGCCAGTCCAGAGCCTGACGGTAGTGCATGACATGTGTCATTTATGTGTCAGCATAAAAACGTTCCTTCATGCTCAGAAACAATCTGCCTCCAAACACAAATCTCCAACAGCAAAGCGATTGTTCTTCTAATCCCAGTGCCTCTGAGCACAAAAGCTCTCTCCTGTAACACTGACACTTTTTCCAACCAGAAAGCAGCAGCAGTGGGCTGTTTAATGGAAGAAATAATTAAGCAGATCAACTTTAGATGAACACAAAATGAACTAGATAAGCTTTTCATATAGCCACCAGACAGATGAT